TGTCACGTGTTCTGGAGCGTGTGCTGGAGCATGTGCTGGAACAAGGCCGGAGTCTGGGCGAGGCTGTGGCTTCGGTCACACCTCCGGCTGTTACCTGCGGAATTTCTACATATATTGGCTTAGACCCCGTTCCCACTGGCTTTTGCAGGCTGGTGCCACTGGTTTCACTCTGGTTCCTTGATCTTAAAGGGAGTTGATCAGTGCACGGTGAAGTACCCCGTTTTCAGATGCCCCCTTACAGACCACCAGAGGCCACGATTAATGCAAACAGCAAAGAGTCATTTTTTGCAAGCTTGAGCTTGGTTCTCCACACACTTGGTAACTGGTGACGCTAAGAGGCCCTGAGCAACATTCCAGCAGGGTTTATAAAGGCAAAAGCCCCAAAGTTACAAAAAGTTACATTAACCAGGTGTTTAAGCAAAATTACATACAAGTACAAATTTGATTGGCTCGGGATTAGGGGAACATTCCAGGGCAGTTAGCATCAGCAGGGAGTTACAGGACTGGCTGGACCATCTGAGGTGGTTTCGGGACACACAGCTCTTTCTGGTAATTTGTGCAGGTTAATTTTAACTTAATAATACCTCTCGGCATAATCACACTTCTCAAGAACACCTTGGTCAACAGTGCTTAGAACAAAGGCAGAAAGTTAAACATAAAACTGTTGCCTGAGCAAGATAGTGACTCTTGTTCTCTCCTTAGTTTCTCATTCCCTCCTCTTCTAGAGTGTCAGGGACCAATCATGGTCCCCGATTGGCACAGTTTTTTTATATTTACAGTTTGCTACTGGGATTTCAGAACTAATAGATGGACTGTGCTGATTGTGTTTTACAAGGTCCGATTGTGAGTAACAAAATTAACAGTACCAAAGGCCCTTACTTTTTTTTTTTTTAGTTCTGACTTTATATATTACAGCTAACTTAATTTTATACCAGCTGTACTTATAAGCTTTAATTTTTAAGACATACTTATGCCATTTGCTACATACTTAAACTTTTGGAGGCTTTTTTTTAAATAAACACTTTAAGACAATTTTTACTTTAAATTTGTGTTTATTCAGAGGATACCTTTTTTAAAATTTATTTTTCAAGGCTTTTTTTTAACTATCTTTTTTCCCCCAACTTTTTGAGTGTTTTTGTGGCTAGAGTTTAAAACTTTCCATTTTTTCCTGAGGCTTATGGAACTGAGTTATCTCAGAACAGCCTCCAGGCACCACTGGGATGCAGAAGCTTGCTAGATTTTAAGGCTAAGAGCAGGACTGGGTCTCATTACTACCTGCATTGATAACACACTCAGGTTATTACCATACCAGAGCCAAACTAGGCTGTGACCATAGAGTGGATTTCCAGTCACTATGCATTGGAATGCCTAAGGCAAGCAAGCCAGTGATATCCTTGCCCCCAAAATCCACTGTGGGAAGAGAGGGTTTCTGGATATCACCAAAAAGAATGTCCCACAAGATCTTAGTTTTAGCAGCTTTCTACCGGGATGCAGTCTCAGGTGATAGAACCAGGCAGGAGTTCAGTCTACTTTTAGCACGGAGGAGGGGGTCTGGGTGACAATGTAGATTTCCTCCAGGTGACTGTCAGGCTGTCTTCAAACTGTACCCGTTAGGGTGTGCAGCAGCAGCAGCAGGGTCTCCCAGTGGCTCCAAGGGACTGTCACACCTCGTGCTGGGCTGCAAATTTCTACACAGACTGGTTAAGGATAAAGTGCATAGGTTTGGCAGGCTGTGGCCCCGTTGGTTTTTAAGACTGTTTAGACAATAGCCCAGGACAATCTACCAAAATTACAACTTTTTTACTAACCAGATATTTTTGTAAATAGACACAAAAGACTTAGTTTTGTAACCATCCAAGCAGTGGCTTACTGCCTCTGGATGCTCGACCATTGCTTTTGTCCCAGGAGTGTCTTCTCTACACTGGGATAAATGCCCCTTAGTTGGTCGCTGGACTTGAACTTGGGGCCTGAGTGTTGTCCCTCAGCTCTCCAGCTCAAGGCTAGCACTCTGCCACTTTGAGTCCTAAAGCAACTTTGCTTGCTCTTTCAGCACTCTGCTGGCTGAGTAGAGGTGACAGTCTCACAGGGATTTTTTCTCCCTGGGCTGGCTTTGAACCAGTTTGCAGATCAATGAGTCTTATAAAAGTGCCACTTTAATTAAAAGCAGCAAGGTGGTCAACATAGAAATAGCTTTTAAGCATGCTTTTACCTGGAACTTATTAAGAGCCAGGGTTACATCTGACAAACTTGTAAGAATCCTTTGTGCTTTGCTCTGGGCTTGCTGAAAACTGTTACAAAAACTTACAAGAGCAAACTGAAATAGCAATTATTTTGGTAATTCTAATTTTTTCCTTTGTGCACTTTGAGGCAAATGTTAAAAACAATTTTACTTTTAAACTTTACATTCAAAAATTCATTTCTAAATTTTTAAAGCCTTTTATTTTTTTTTAATACTTTAGTTTTCATTTGCGTTTTGAAAAGATTCCTTAAAATTTTGAGGCCAAGTGTCATTCATTGTCTTTTGGCTGCTTGTTTTAAAACAAATATACATTAAAATTTTTAAACTTAAATGACAATTTTTTCTTAATGCAAGAATTATAGTCCCCATCATTGTGCCAAGAAGCTAGACTTAATACCTTTATGACTTTTAGAAACATCCTAATTGTAGAACATCATTAAAAGCAAGTTACATTATACAAATAACTTTTTAAGACCTTAATTTTAATTTTGACACATCCAAGGGGCAGTTTTAGCAATACTAATCAGATCACCACATCACTAATTTTTACCATCATGTTTTCAGTGTCTATCTGCAGGGAAAAGGAACAGAACAAAGAAGGGCCACTGGGCACGTGGCCCCTCCTATGGAATGGGCACGCACCCAATCCGACTCTAGGGTTAGATGAACTGCGTTTGCGTCAGCTTGCCCTCTTCCACCATGTGTGGACTCCTCTCAGCGCCTGTCCCACCATGCATGACCAGCTGAACTGCACTTCACCCCTCACCCCTAAGATAGATCTCTTGTTGGCTTTTTTTTCCTTTTTTATTTTTTGGTTTTTGAATAAAATATACAGTTTTAGACAGACAGAACAGGTAATGTTTGCTGGGCGCTGTTGACTCACGCCTGTAATCCTAGCTACTCAGGAGGCTGAGATCTGAGGATCACGGTTCAAAGCCAGCCCAGGCAGGAGAGACCGTGAGACTCCTATCTCCAATAAACCACCAGAAAACCGGAAGTGGCGTTGTAGCTCATGTGGTAGAGCGCTTGCCTTGAGCTGAAGAGCTGAGGGACAGCGCCCAGGCCCAGAGTTCAAGCCCCACGACTGACAAAAAAAAAAAAAAAAAAGAACAGGTAATGTTTTTGACAGTGTTAAACTAACCTTTACACTTAAATTTTTAGTATTTATCCTCAAATTTTAGCCAAGGGAACTAAATTTCAAACTGCCAATGCATTTTAAAATATTATATTTTTAAATACCAGATTTTTTTAATTTTTAAGTTAAAGAATTCTTAGCCATTTAAAACAACGTGAAAGTTCTTTAAAATTTTTGGTAATGTCCAAACCTCATAACCTTTTACATTTTAAACTTAAATCACCCAATTGTTACAGCATGCTGACAATTATTATCTTGAACATGTTTAGAAATACATACAAAACACACACAGATACTAAAGCACACAAAAATCAAAATTAGTTGTACATACATTTTTTAAAGTTTTTAAACAAAAATTTAAGACAGTATTTCTTTTAAACTAGGTACTTTTGTTGAGCTTCATTTTCCCAGAGCTTGCTTGTTTAGCAAGGTAATTCACCAATGGTCTTTTGAAGTCCTTCAGTTGGAGGAGGGCTGGGGGAGGGGGTCACCTGAAACTAACTGGCCTGATTTTTTTAATCCAATTTTACATTGTTAGGACTAGCTGAAAAGTCCAAACCAGGCACAGAGCCTTTTACACCCTCCCCGCTGGCAGCCTCCACAAGGAGAAAATGAAGCCTGAGGCTTGAAGGGAATCAAACTAGCTCAGCAACCTTCCATGCCTCACAGGGAAGGGGGCATAGCAGGTCTGTGACCTAGCCCAGCTAGAGGCTGGAACTTTTATTCCCCCAGAGATAATCAAATAAATAACAAAAACACAAATAAACACAAAAACCAAGGCCCCATACTTAAAACTGGTACCAACTTTAAAACAGAACTAGACAAGACAACAACAGAAGGCTGAGTTGGGGACCAATGGGCCCCCAGTTCTTCCCTACCAGAACTCTGTGCTGTTCTCACTCAGCAAGCTGAATCCAGAGTCTGCTGAGTGAGCTGGCCACCCTCACCCAGAACTTCCCCACCTCAGAAAACAGAATAGAAAACACACCTAAGTAAACAAGACAGACAAGTGGCCACAAAGACAAAATCAGGTCTCAGTGAATGGGGCGACATCTCAAATCCACTTAACAGGGGACTCAAACCCCCTCTACTCATTCTGGAGGATTTTTCTTTTAGATTTCTGGTTGACCCAGGAGAATTCCCAGTCATCTTGGGGCAAGGGAAAAAAGTCCCTAGCGGCCATCCCCTCAGACTGACAGGTTCTCCCCCATGCTCAGACCCCCCTTGGCCAAGGCCTGAGGCTGGGATCTTGCTGGGGTCACTTGCGGGTGGTCAGTGGCAGTTTTAAAATGAACAAGGAAAAAGAGGCACCGGATTAAAACGACAAACACAGACAAGACAAGGACAGCAGTGCATTGTAGACTGTTAGATGGGCAGTGCCAGACACACCAGGGTACTCGAACCCCTTCAAAAGTGCCAGACTGGGAACTCGAACCCCTGCTAAAACTATCTGGGGACTCGAACCCCTTCCTGGATAGTTTACCCCCTGGGGATCCAGGGGACGTCTCCCACTGGCCCTGCTGGCTACCTTATAGTGCGTCTGCCAAGGTTTCTTGCCTGCCACAAAACCCTACTTGCAAGTCAGAAACAAAACACTTAACACAAAGCAGCTGCACCCCCACTTACTGGCTGGCTAGACAACTCGCTGATCAGGTGTCTGGGTGGGCTTCTGGGGGGCATCCCGGACAAGCCCCCATCTGAAGTACCCGTTTTCGGATGCCCCCTTACAGACCACCAGAGACCACAATTAATGCAAACAACAAGAGTCATTTATTGCAAGCTTGAGCTTGGTTTTCCGCACACTTGGTAACCGGTGATGTGAAGAGGCTCTGAGCAACATTCCAGCAGGGTTTAAAGGCAAAAACCAAAAAGTTACATTAACCAGGTGTTTAAGCAAAATTACATATGAGTAAAAATCTGATTGGCTTGGGATTAGGGGAACATTCCAGGGCGGTTAGCATCAGCAGGGAGTTACAGGACTGGCTGGACCATCTGAGGTGGTTTCGGGACACACAGCTCTTTCTCATAATTTGTGCAGGTTAATTTTAACTTAATAATACCTCTCGGCATAATGACACTTCTCAAGAACACCTTGGTCAACAGTGCTTAGAACAAAGGCAAAAAGTTAAACATAAAACTGTCGCCTGAGCAAGATAGTGACTCTTGTTCTCTCATTAGTTTCTCACACGGGAGAAAATGGAGAATTAAAACCTTAGCCTTTGTTTTTTTGGCTTATAGTCAGATCACAAAGTTTTAAAGCAATTTAGATTAAATCTCAGCTTTCATTGACAAAGATTTTTAGTAAGCAGAGTAATTGGTAACCTTGAAACCATGGTGTTTACATATAGACAAGTAGACAGACATGTTTGTACACGGATTATAGAGCATGCTTAGATTTTAAAATTGGCCATTTAAGATTTTTTGGAATTACTTTGCCTAATTATGATGGAACCAAGTGGTCAGTTTAAAACACAAAACTTTGCCAACAATGACCTTTTAGTAAACAGGAGACAAGAACAAACACGTGACATGTATAAGGGCAGTGCTGCTCGGGTCAGAGGGGGAGGGTCACAGAATCAAGTTGAGGTCGGTGTGAAATAGCAGCTGAGCTCCCATGATGCCAAGATGGCAAATCCACCACGCGGTCCATGCTAGAGAGAGCTAAAGGTTTTGACAGTGAGGGTGCATTGCTTCTGGCACAACTGGAGCTTCCGGTTCCACCATCCCACACTGCAAAGGCAGAGGAGGGGTCCCGCAGAAGAGGGGGTACCTGGGGGGTGCAGAAGAGGAGAGGCATCCACAGAGGAGGAGTTTAAACTTAAACTCATCCATACTTTTACCTTCAGCTGGAAGGGAGAGATTAATAGAGAGAGGAGTTCTACCTGCCAGAGCACTCACACAAGCGGTTTTAAATTTGGGGCCAGGTTTGACTGTAAGGAAACTTAGTTCTGTCCTTTTCCATGGCAAGTGATGGTGGAACCAAAATTTGACTGTGAGCCTCCCCAACAGTGCATTTGGCGTGAAAAGTGGGAAACAACCAGTGGGAAATGTCACCACATTTCTCCATAGTGTCCCTCGGCCACGGAGGCCATCCGCTTGGTATTTGGCCAAGCTTTTGGAGGGGCCCCAGAGGCCTCCCCGAGAGATGCACGGAGCCTGCACAGTGATCACTTACCCGGAGGAAGGACTGAATTAGCTGGTGTTGGGCAGCAGGTAAAGAGCTCAGTCAGGAGAAAGTTACCTTGTTGGTCCTCTGGCAATAGGAGTGTAGGATCTGAGGCTAGGTCCCAGGGAAGCTGTTCGGACGCCCGTCCGAAGTGGAGGGGTGAAGCAAATCCACCAGGGAACCTATCCCCATAGAGCCACCAATGAAAGGATTCTTCACATCCTTGTCAGGGGACCATGTGGAAGCAGGCAGGCACAAGAGAAAGATTATTAGAAGGTTTACTAGAGCAGCCATATTTCCCCTGGAGAGAGAGCACGTGGCAGCCTCCTCTAGGTAGCAGCAGGATCTTGGGATAGGAAGTGAGGTAGATGGGAGTTCAGGTGGGTCTGGGTGGAGCTGAGGATCAAAGTGGGCATCATGCTTACAGTTCACACATCAGCCTCCCGGGGTGCCTGCCAGCAGCTCCTCCAGGCCCTTTTCACAAACACCAAGGAGCGTGGAAGAATCCTGACTGAAGCCCGAAAATTGGTTCCAGAGATGACAGGCAGCCCACCACTAACCCTGATGTTATTAACAACAACTTCCCTCTCAGTGGTCCTGCTGCCTGGGAATTTCGTGCTGCTAAAGGAGGACAATGAAGCTCGCTGGCTGCCTGAGAGACTGGTGCAGTGTGGGGAGCAGAAACGAGGTTCTTGTTTGGCTGGTAATCCTGATGCTGATCCTGGGGGCAAGGGGTGAGACATACCGGGCCTACGTTCCTGACCTGCCTATCCTTCATCCTGCCATGTGGGAGGGCAGAGAAATCGTGGTCCTGGTGAACAACACTCATTTGTTAGACTAACCTGCAGTGGACAGATTGGGAATACAGAGTGAGACAGGATTCAACTATTCTGGTTCCGGTGTCAGATTGCCCATCTGGTTTGCCAAGAATACATCTTATCCTGGGTGTCTAAAGATTAGCCAGTCTACAGTTCCCACGGGAACTGTCTTTTGGGAGCTCACATATGGTTACCTATGGGTGAACAGACCGCTGGTATTCCACTGCAGAGATTTCCCCCCTGCTGGGAGGACAAGGGGTGTAGTAACAAGTCCCTTCCCTGAAGGTGGTGTTATACTGATAATCCTATGCATTATAACGTGACTGATTCACCTGGGTTCATCCTTGATTGGCCTGGCTATCAAGATCCGAGCCAGGCAAATACTCTTGAATGGGAAAATGGACTGTCTGCAGGACTTCGGTGTGCTGATTCAGGGGCTCCTCACGTGTGGATCTGGAAGCTTGCTTAGCAATGGACGAAGTGAAACCTCAACCCCCGGGGGAAGGTGGAGTATTCATCTGTGACTGCTTGTGTTACTCCACCTTATGTTTTGCTTGTAGGCTTGATAAATATTAGTATGAATGATCAAGAATTTAATGCTACCTCTGAGAATTGTAATCTTACTAATTGTATCTTTAAGGTACCTAATAGTACCCAAATTATGGTGTTTCAGCAACCTTCTTTTGCTATGGTGCCTGTTAATGTGTCTGGTCCTTGGTATGTGGACAAAGTGTTACAAGTGCTGGAAGAAATGTAGAGAGCTTTGAGTAGATCTAGGAGGATGGTTGGCCTGGTCATAGCGGGAATCTTGGCCTTGGTATCCTTGATTGCTACGGCGACTACCATGGCTATTGCCTTGTCTCAAACTGTTCAAAATGCCCATTTTCTTACTGATATAGCAAAAAATGTAACCATGGTATTAGGTACCCAGAAAGACATAGACATGAGGCTGGAGCTTTGTAGGATGTATCTAGGAGGTAAAATTCAAGGATTAAAAATTAGAGCTTGATTGGATTGTCATGCAGATTTCCAGTGGATTTCTGTGACCCCTAAGGTTTATAATCAAAGGGCTATTGGTTGGGACAAAATTAAGAGACATTTGCAAGGAATATGGCATCATGAAAACATATCTTTGGAATTAATAGAATTGCATCAAGAAATTTTAAATCTTAAAAATGCTAGACTCCTAAGTTTGATACTGCTGTGACTGCAGCTGATATCCTTCATGGGCTCAAAGCCACACTGCCCTCTTGGTCCCCTTTTACTTCCCTTTTAGGTGGCATAGTAGGTGTTGGTGGATGTGTGTTAGTAGGCATTATATGTCTGCCCATGATCATCAAGCTAATTGTGAATAATTCCTTATGGAAAGTGAGCTCAGAACTCCATGGAGTTAAGCTCTATGCATTCCCTTAATGTCAGAGGCTGGTAGTCAATGATGGGTAAGCTTTCTTTGCCTCCTTTCAATGTAAGACAGGACATGAATGATGGAGTTCATGTTCAGATGACAGGTAAGTCTGGAGTGCGAAAGAAACAACCTAAGGCAGGCACTCTGAGAGACTTGATGGAGTCTTAAAAAATAAAAAACGGGGAATTGTGGGAGCCCACAGTGACTCCATCTTGAATTTGGGATCCATCTTGGCCTGTTAGGTCAAGGGAGTTCAAGCTTGTTTGTTCCAACAAGTTGTAGAAAAAACAGAAAGAACATGTTGTTTTGCTAAAGAAAGCAGCTGCTGTGAGCCAGGAGGAACTTAGTGGTCAGATAAGGAAGTTGAATGTTTTTGACCCGAGAGGGGTGTGTCAGTAATTGTTTCTCTGGAATTTCCCTTGTTCCTTGGAGCTTGTATATAAGGCCACTGTAAAATAAACTCGGGGCGGCGGCAGTATTGACTGACAGCCCTCTGGCTCTATTGTCTTCTGTCTTTCTTAATCCTTACCCCCCTATTCAGGTTCTCGTTGATTCCAATTCTGGCAGGCTCTGACACTATGTGGCTGTAGTGACCAGCATTGATGACTGGTAGCTGTAATGGCCAGTGGTGATGACTGGCTATAATGACCAGAAGTGATGACTTGTTTGTGTAATGTCCAGTGGTGACAATTGGTGGCCATGATGATCACAGGAGATAACTTGTGGCTGTAGTGACCAGCAGTGATGACTGGTGGCTGTAATCACCAGCAATGATGACTTGTAGCTGTAATGACCACGAGTGTCAGCTTGTGGATCCAGTGATCACTGTTGATGACCTGTGCTATAGTGATGAGCAGTAATGATCTGTGTCTGTACTGATCACTGGGGATGACTTGTGTCTGTAATGATCGGTGATGATGACTAGTGTCTGTAATCATCACTGGTGATAACTTGGGCTAGTGATCACTGGTGATGACTTGTGTCTGTAGTGATCACTGGTGATGACTTGTGTCTTTAGTGATCACTGGGGATGATTTGGGCTGTACTGATCACTGGTGATGACCTATGCTGTAATGATCACTGGGGAAGACATGTGTTTATAGTGATCACTGGGATGACTTGTGTCTGTAATGATCACTGGGGAAGACTTGTGTCTGTAGTGATCACTGGTAATGACCTATGCTGTAATGATCACTGGGGAAGACTTGTGTTTGTAGTGATCACTGGGGAAGACTTGTGTTTGTAGTGATCATTGGGGAAGACTTGTGTTTGTAGTGATCACTGGGGATGACTTGTGTCTGTAGTAATCACTGGGATGACTTGTGTCTGTAATGATCATTGGGGAAGACTTGTGTCTGTAGTGATCACTGGAGATGACTTGTGTCTTTAGTGATCAGTGGGGATGACCTATGCTGTAGTGATCACTGAGGATGACTTGTGGCTCCAGGATGACTGTTGATGACCTGTGCTGTAGTGACTAGCAGTAATGATCTGTGTCTG